AGAGGTCTGGAGTTCAAATCTAAGTTAAGGCAACTCATTTCTTTTTCAAATTGTTTAAGTGAAATAAACATTGGATTGAATATCAGTGTTGCAATAAGTCTTTTAGCCAATTAACTACAATTAAAACGCTGTAAAGCATTGGTGGCACTATACAAAAACAAATTGGTTTATAATCTCACAACCTTCACCTTTCTGACATTCTGAGACCCAAACAAATTCAGCGCCTTCTGTGCTTTGATTAAGTAAACGTCAACCGATTTGATAAATGTTTTTGACGAAGGATTCAATCGATGGATGTGTTAAATTCTTTTAGAAATCGGACTTTACAGTAATTTTTCTTTCTGTGATTCTGTAAAGCATATCGTTCCCAATTTATCTTGAATCCCGGAAACAAATGTCTAAAAGATATGTATAAAAAAATATTGCTTAATCGAAATAATTCATTATAATGTAAAATACATGTCCAGCGATTCTTTTTTCTCTATTGGCATTTTCTATTTCTGTTTCGACCCTCATACTCTGAAGTGGCCTTTACCTCTTTAAGTTTACTTTTTTTATCGGGTATATTTCATTTCAAAGTCTGAATGTAAACAACATATTAATTACAAGTATTCAAAACCTTAGATGAAACCAAATATTAATTATGCATAATTCTTATAGTAAAATATGAAAACAGAATATCACTGTCATGACTAAATCAATTAACCTTCAGTTAACCACGAAACGGATCATTGGACATTTTTTTTATTCATTGAAACACTTTATATTATTATTTGGGCGGAAAGAAACATGTTAACATTGAAACATAGATCAGTGATAATAACTATGGCTTACTGAGGTAATTAAACATTCGTAAACAAGTAAGTTACTTTTCATATCAAATTTCTGACATTTTTCTAATCAAGATTTTCCTTCTCGCAACGTGTTCTTTTATTTTATGCAAGGTTGTTAACCTTTATTTTCCTCACACGCCAACCATGTTTTTGTAAAATTATATTTGTAGCAAAATATCCACGACATTTTGAAATTCTAAACTGTTTATGTCCTCCAGTTCAGGATAGCTCAAAATTGTATGTTTATAGTCTATGGATCGCAGTTTCTTCTATTCGGTGTCCTACAGGGTGTTTCTAGAGGGGCTTTGTTCAGTCTACGTCCATCTCTCGTGTTGATATGTATATTCATATTGTATATGTTGCTTAAGATCACATGTTACGATTAATTGAAACATTATAATTTATGATGACATTTGACATTCTAATGCCATTTGAAGAAGATTGCATTTATTTGAAAACAACATGTAATATCGGGGAAATGTCAAATAGCAATATAATGCATATTTAATACACACATATACGAGTATATGTTTTTGATTTTGTAAATTACTGCTTTGATGGATTTCTCTAACTGTCCATTGGTTTATGGGTTTTATTAATTTTCTTTATTTGAAGCTTAAAAACTATTGAAATTGCTCTACACGCTGTTTCTTTCGTACTGTATTTCATGAATGAGGAGAGAATCCCTAAAGGGGTTACTTAAAGTTTTAAAAATAATATCATGTTAAATAAAAGGTAGATGATCTCGTGTACTGTGAATTTAAAACAACGAATAGTGTTTGATATGTGTTATCAATCAATTTGATCAAATTATTTCCGGGTTAGATTAAGGCCCAGTTGTCTGGTAGCAACACTCTTTGACCACAAATCCAAGGTCTCAAATTCGATTTTCCGCTACACCCGCTTAAATTTCTTACATTTAAAACCCGGGGTTCCTTGAAATAGTGTTTAAGAGCTATCCATATCTTTTTCACTTTTTGACTCAACAAAATAAAAATCACTAACGGTCTTCCCACACGGATTGTCGGTAACGATTATAAATAAACGTATATTACATAATTTTGAAAGTGCAAACGAGTTATAAATCGTTTAAATGCCAATGTACTTGATCAACCTTGAAAGTCGGTTTGAAATACATTGTATGTTTAAGAATATTTCGTTAAGATAATTTGTTAAACGCATTTTTAAATATTTCATCAACGACCATGTAGATTGACATAAGAATATATATTTTTTTAGAAAACGGTGACTGTTCAAATAAAGAACCTGTTAAGAGGGTTATTTCTTCAGGGCTTTTTTCCTTTCCATTCTTTTGCATTTCAGGACATCTCAATTACTAAATTAAAAAAGTAACAAAAAACAGTAAAACAGTAATTTGTTAGGAGGGTTCGACACACACAAAAAGAGAGAAAGCTTTGAGGAATTTCAAAGATAGTATCTTTAAATGTTTTTCATCTGATTTTTCAAAACAAAAAAAAAGTTTTGATGATGCTCCGACTGAAAATGTTTCGTCAACTAATCAACTATTTAAGAACTACTGTTTAAAAAGTTTTGATTATGTCTAAAAAATTCAATGTAAAGTTTCTTTGAGATTTTTTCTCCTTTTCCTTCGCCTTTTGATCTCTTAATTTTAATGCAACAAGGTCATTTACTATCCATTTTTTAATAAATTAAAGCTTTGACAAGGCCAGTTGGTTATAAGCAGATTCATTTTGTCGTGGACATTGGAAGTTGCCATGTATATAAAACTGCGGTCAGTGTCGACTCGTTGTTTGCTTGTACGGTATAATTTTGTACTACCGTTATATATTTACATTACAACTCGTATATATAAGCCGTGTGCTCAACCACTCCTCTTTGACTTCAAGTGCAAATACAACCAGAAAGCTAATAATCAGTTAATGAATTTATATATATGACAAATATCTATTTCTTATTAAACACCATAAAATTCCGTATCATGAACCTAGCCCTTCATTAACATAAAAGCGTGAAGTAGAGTCTGAAGTGGCTTTCCTCTATTAGAAGAAATGTTATCAACTAAAGTCATTAAATACAATATAATAAATAACCCCTGCAAGGGGATAGAGTGAAATGCAATAAAGTGTTTTCTGTCGATGAAAAACCATAATTTTTGTTACTTTGATAATAATAAAACATTCACGTGTTTAAATCTCTTCAGCCTATGTTAAATTGTTTACTTGTTTTGAATTCTGCTTTTTTCTCTTTTTTCCCCATATTTTTTTATAAATTCATTCATTCATTCATTCATTCATTCATTTTTATTCGTTAATCTATTCATCCATTCGTACGTTCGTCTTTCCATAGTGATCCTATCATCCCCAATTTTTCTTCCATGCAGATTCTCGTCCCGGCAGGGTAAAAGGTCGAAGAAACGAAAAGACGGCACATACTTTTTTGCCGCATCGTCCGTCATACGAAGTAATTGTATAAGACCTAAATAAGTCTTCATACGTACATCCGACTTACTTACAGTTTAAATACCTTATAATAACATATTTTAACTTAATTCAGCATAACCCGGAATAAGAGCTGTTGAACTGTGCATAGCCTTAATTTAAAAGAAATAAACAAGTTACATCAAAGAATATGTCAGGTTCAATAACGTACTTGTAACCTATTCTCAATATACACGAATTTCTTTCTGCCGTAAGGAGATTTTGTCAGACTTTGGGTTGACTTTTTCAGAGATTAAAAATATTGACTTTAAAATATTGGCTCCGGTGTTGACACAGCCGCTTGAACCGTTCATCAATATACGTGATTTGGTTGTTTTTGGATCAACCTTGTACTTTTTTGTGTCAATAATTAAAAGTGTAATTTTGTAAAGGTACATTAATGACACAAATGGATACGTCGGCGTTAAATTTGATTGTTACAAAGTAGAACGACGTAGCTATTATTACGCTTCAATTAGCAAACGGATATTTTAACAAAAGATCACCTTCGTAAACGGTGTAATCTATAGGTAGTAAAGAAAATATTTTGATCACTATCTGAAAATAGGAAAACTTTCACTGTTTTTTCTTTTATGAGGTTCTGACTTGGGTTGTATGCTCGTAAACTCTCTTGAAATTAAATGGAAAATCAACTTAACTTACTTCAGCTGGCTAGTGAAGAAAACTTGTAGCATTGTTCAGTCCACTCTCAAATCCGCCTGCTTGAGCTTACAAAAATAATGTATAACCCAGTCAATAAATTTATAATGTAGCTTTTTGTGCTTTTGATCTTTTAGACTCAAGAATAAAAATATATGTTATCGCAGGCACATATTATGTGTGCTATAGCGTATAAGATGTTTAGTCTCTTATAATTCTTATAGAATGGCTATATTACCTATATACATGTTTTTTATATTATATTGTATATGGATGAGACTGGAATAAATAAGTAAATATAAAATATATATATAGTATGGATGCTTAAAAACTGTTTTATTTAGTATAAACAAGACAAGTGTGATAGCAGTAAATATTTCTAAGAATGTCTTTCGCACCCCTGTTTATTTTATTCTTTTTGAATGTTGGGTTATCTATTGGTTGGGTTGATTTGTAGGCTGAAACTAATGTCTGCGATAGTCAAAGAAATCTTGGAATAATGTTAACAGTGAATGACTAAGATAGTTAAACATTATAATTATGATCAGGATCCATGCTGTTCGCTATTATTTTCTCTACTTGTAAAAGGGTTGGTAAGCGAACAGCATGGATCCTGATCAGACTGCGCGGATGTGCAGGCTGGTCTGGATCCATGCTGGTCGCAAACGCACTATGTTGGTTTTGTCATGACGCGGCTCATATATTTTACTCTCATCCTACTAGGAACATTCCAGAAATCGGTTTCTTCACAAAAACAAAAAGATTTTACTGGAGATGATCGTCTTCGTAGTTAACAGGACGTAAATTTTGGCGTTATAAAGTTGTACATTTTAAAGGGATAAATATCTGTATTAAAAATATCGCAAATAAAAAAGGTTTAAATATCACATTCTATTTTTACATAACCTTAAAGGGCTTGTAAGTTAATCCTTTATGCATATTTGTTTAACAAGTCAAATCCCAAACAAACTATGGGGCCTCTCGTTTATGATCAAATAAACCGATTCATGTTTATGAGTAAAGTAAAGACAGGTAGCAAATTTGATCTTACGTTGGTTTTATTATATCTACCTTGTTTGTTTATAGAAGTGTATGAAAATATTTACCATTGTTCTTAGTGACATTTGACGCTTTCAAAAAAGGAAAAAAGAACGGTTCATTGCAGGATATATATAGACTGTTCTGTCATTATTAACTCAGGCGCTTCACTGATTGGTTTAAAACGATCTATATCAGATTATACATAAATTTCTGTTGTATTGTCAGGAAGAATTTTTAATTTTGGAAAGAGTGTTTGTTTGTGAAATTTGGAGTATTGTTCTTCAAAAGAAATTTATAACGAAATGAAGTAAATTGTTTGAATACGACGTTAATGACGAAAGGAAATTATTGTTGTTTATATTATTTAAAGTAACAAAAATGTGAGTGAAACTTTAATACAAAAATATATCTTTGTTTAAACAAAAGAATTTGATGTAAAGCAAAACAACATGTTCCAATGTTCAAATATACCTTTTTTTCTCTTTGTAGGAGAGAAGAAGAAATAAATCATTTTTTTCTTAAATAACACTTTATCACAAATTTTATTATATTTTTTATCAATTATACCAATTGATTTATCATTTCCTGATAAACTTGAACCCAGAAGTATTTGTACAAAATAAATCATACAACAAATTGACGTAGACGAGTACGTCCAAGGACCATTACAATTCTGATCATTCAATGAGCCAAGAAATACTTGTTAAAATAATATCCTTTCTTGTTTCCGTCAAAGTTACAATACGCTAGTTTTGTCCTTATAATAGTCAGACATTTTAGATATTTCGTTTGAATAAGGCGCCATCTAATATTATACTTTATTCGTTGTTTAAAAAAAACTTTCAATTTTTTGTTTCAGAATTCTTAGAAGAAGGTAATTTCCAAAAACAGCAACATGGGGAGTCGCCGTAAAATGACAGAGCGGGAGATGAAAGCAACTGCGCTTAATAAAAAAGAAGACCGCGTTCTGCAAAAAACATTCGGCACGTTAAATCTTGAGATGAGTTTTACGTATAACGTCATTTCGCTGCACGTGCGCACTGTCAAAGCTAATTTTAGACGTTTACGTGAACGGGTTGATAAATTGAAGTCCTATCTGACACCAGAAGAAATAACTGCTCTTAGACAATTAGAAGAAGAGGGTAAATTCAAGCCAGCTACGACGTTTAATGTAAATGCCGCTATGAAAATAGCTGCCGCAGCCCGCAGACTCAATTTATATCCTGAAGGTTTGAATCGCTCGCGGACAACAGTTTCAGCAAAACATAATCGCAATAACGATAAACTGCTAACGGGCAGGTCAAAAACAGATACGAACTTGTTGCGAAATCGGAGTAATTCTGTTACAGGAGTATTTATTGATGCTCCGCTCCCGGACAACGCGGTGCGGAGGAATTCCACAGCCGAAATTCCGGTGAAAGTAGCGATACGCCCGGTAAGCGCGGCCGTTGCTGAACAAACCGATTTGAAGATTCCACAGAGGGGTTTGAGACCAGCTTCCTCAGAATGCTTTGACAGAGAAAAAATTCAACTGCCTAAAACTGTGTCAACAAAACCTAGCACAGAGACGTCTGATAACTTTTCTTATGAAAAGACGGAAAGGGTAACGGAAACGGGAACCGGAAAAATGAAAAAGTCCCCACTTGATAAAATGGCTATGATTAATATAACAGACGAATCACTTGATACCGGTAGAAATAAATTATTTGAAGACAGACGGCAGGAACTTTTACAAGACGAACATACGTTTTACGTGAATTTAGAAAAACGTAAGAATCACTTCATTGGTAAGGTTGACGAATATCTAATTCAAAATCCGCCAGTAAAGTTTGACACTCCCATGATGCCTATAGTAATTCCGCATGCCTCCGCCGACGAAGATGAAGTAATGGCGTATAGCCGACGGCGAGTCAGAAAATATGACACGGATAGAACATTTACATCGGAGGAAGAATATAAACAGCGAGAAGGAAATTTGTGGAAAGACATGAATAAAACAAGGTACTTGCGGGTACCCGACGAGAAAATAGATTTATCTGGCGTGGTAACATTAGCCAAAGATCAAATGCAGCTGTATCATTTATTAAAATCCACGGAACCAACACACGTTGTAACATACTGAAAAGAATGTCTATTCTGTCATATTCTGTTGCTAAATGCATAGTGATTTCCGTCAAAGCGAGGCTGTGAAGATTGTATTTTATAATCATTTTTTGTGTGATATGTTTCATGCATTTTTGTATGTGTTTGATTTATGTAATAGGTTGCGGTAATTGTTAATTAGCTAAAATTACAAGAGTGCAATTTATATCATTTAATAAAATTTATCACAACAACGATAATGCGAAATTAGGCTAATCAGTAAACCATCATAAATAGTAAGAACAGCATAGCAACAACTTTTGTAAGAGACTTCGGCATATACAATGCCTACTGATCTGCTAAATTAACAAGAATATTTTCGTACTTGTATCAGGCTGTTTTTCGGTTGAAATGTGGTTTATATGACGCAGACTTCCGCTAAATATTTTTTAATTAAAAACAACATTAAAAAAGCAGCAGCAACAACTGAATTAAAATTTTCGCATGTGATTTTGTGGTCAGTAAATGTGTAAAATGTTATTTAAAAGTTAGGTCGTGATATAATCGTGACGTTTACATTAATACAAGCTGTCTAAAATTCTTAGAACTTACAATTTATAATATACATAGCAAATATAATTAAAGCACAAAACAAAACACGCCCAAATTCATGTTTTTCTTTGTTCATGTTTTTCCGAGTTTTTTTTTAACGTTTCATTTTTATATGATATTATTCCGCACATTATGTTGAAAATATTGGGGGACAAACACAAATTATGTGATATCATACACAATACTTCTTATGTGTTGAATGTAGAGCAGTATTCATTGAAATCTTTGGTTTTGTATAAATGTACAATGTATCTATTTATGATAAGTCATTTTATAAATGACGAAAGGTGAATGAGTCATATATTGCGTATATTGCGGCTGTAATAAAATGTGGTTTTTATCGTCGAGTCTCGTCTTTTATATAAACATGTAAATATAAAAACGATTAAAGTGTTTGTTTCTAAGAATTTTATTTGTCAATATTACGGGACCTTTGTTATACTACCTTGTGGCCGAGAGTTGTTAAAAAACGGAGTTGCCAGTTAAGAGGATAATATCTGCTTGGAAAATTTACGTATCTTTACTTTAATTGCTCTTATTTTCTGCCATATACTACATGCAGTTTGAAATTATTTTTGTTTTCCCAGATCGAAGCAGTCCCACATTGGCTTAAAATAGTAACATAATTTCCACCATAACTCGCAAAAATGAAAATAATTTACAAGCCAAAACAAATCTTTAATTCCTCTCAAGGTACATGAATACACAACACAGTGATATACTATATCCAGATATAATATGGCAAATCGAGCTTCCGGTTGCACTTTATCAGCCGATGAATAATGTTTCGATTTAGGTTTTAATATAATTTAATGATAAATATGTACATGTAAATAAACAAACTATGTAATAAAACGCAATTTCAGTCATTTCACATTATAAAGGTTGCAAATAAAGTTTGCTAGTTTACTAAACTAACTTTTCCGGATATCATGAAGTAAATAATTGCGCCACACCTGTCTTCATTTTGGTGGAAATTCAGTGCTTAATTTCTATGTAGACAAAGATCTGTTTGATAATGTAGGAATGTTAGAAAGTAACAACATACAGTTGAACACTGTTACTTAAGCATTGAATATTTACAGTATCACTATCACACTACTAACTGAGTCATCGGGTAAAAAATACATTGTATTCTAAACAAGAAAGTAAATACATGGCATGTTAGATAACTTCATTGAGTATGCGATTGAATAAGGTATCCCAAAAACATACTAGATTGGCCTATTTGCTAAAGAACATAACAGGACGTTCTAATTATCGAGGAAAGTGAAAATCTTAATGAACGGTTTTGCTGGTTAATAAACCTGACAGAACATTCGAAACAATAGAATGAAATAATGTTGTGCTGAACAGAGCAACATCGGAAGCATTTTGAAATATTGGAACAAAAGTTAATCCCCTACTAAGAGTCTGCTGGCAGCAGATGCTGCTGCAATATAAATAAAATCAATGTCATGTCGGAATGCTTCTCTCTCAAAGCAACCTTGCATTGCAATCACCACAAAGAAATAATAAAGTTTCTTTTGAAAGTAGCAAACATTTAATTTGATTTTGATATCCCGGCATAGTAAACTATGACGACATATTAATACGAAAATTGTATGTTCTGTTGACATTTTCTGCTGAAAGAGCTACCTATACAGCTAGCAAAGGAACCAAAATTCGAGTTAAATCTTTCATTACAGGATTCTCTTTAGATAAATAAATTATCAGGCAGTCCGAAATAAACTGAATGAATTGAAATTAATTAAGGTGCTGCTTGTACGTTCGGCTATCAGATTTATATATGATAGTGCAAGATAATGATGCGAAATGCATTCAGTCAAACAAGATCCTATTGGCATACTCTGCTGGCAGAGGAACAAACTGTGCACTCAAAGAATAAAAAAGTCAACGTCTTGCTCCACTGCCTTACTTACAGAACAAACATAGCAGCCAATGCACTCCGTACTTTACAAGAAAATTGTATTTTGTTTGAGAAAAAAAAAAAACACAAAAAAAAACCCAACTCGAGAACAACCTTAAAAGCGATTTCGACAAAATGTCACGCTGTTTCTGCTAGAATGTGCAGCTGGTATATGGTAGTAAAATAAACAGACTATTGTAAATTAGATATTAAATCAAGCTCGTACTTGAATGTTTTGCTAGTATAACAATATATCAGGGCATTCTAATTTATGGAATAAACTGAATGTTATTCCGAGACGCCCTGTTTTTTGAATAGCATAATTTTTTATGATGTGTATAAATTTGGAACTACACGGCCACATTGAAATAATGCAAGCCTGATTTGGCGAAGGGCAGTTGTAGATATCAAGGCCACCATATACCACACATAAAAGGTATATACAAATGATATATAACTACATTTACTGAAGTACCAGAAATATCTGAAATCTGAGTTTTTTTATCTTTCAGAACAGCAATATCGGCAGCAAGAATAATGTAGGGTTAACAACTCTTACTGACGATTTTAAATAAGATTTACTGAATTATCTTTCTTTTTGTACATTCTTCACTGTATGGTCGTACATCCAATATGGCCGAGGAAAAAAGACGTGAAAAGTTATGAAACAGTTTTCCAATACAACGTCAAGCCGACACTAAGGGAAAGTATTAACTGGTTCCAATAGATTTAGAAACAGCGAGGAAGTTTGAAAATGTACGAAATCCCTAAAGAAATCTTGCCCATAATAGAAGGTCTGTTACACAAAAATTATATGATGATATATAGTATCATACGCGACAACAAACCACAAACTGGTTGGGTTCAAACTCTATCAGGGGTAAGTCGTTTTCCTTGAGCAAGAAACTTTAGATTTATTGCTTGCTACTGGTTGGTTCCAGGAATGGATTCGAGAGCGTTTCAATAAGGTCATAGCTTCCAACATAACCAAACTAAAATAAACTTTGTATAAAGTAAACCACAGACGAATTATATATTGTATCATATTAAGTAATAGATATACCATTGCTGCGTTGACGATTTCTGGGTTTGCGTAAATTATACCATAATCACGTGACCTTTCTTATGCCTTAACCTCACGAGACGAAGTCGAGTGACCTTTCTTATGCCTTAACCTCACGAGACGAAGTCGAGTGAGGTTTCATAAGAAAGGTCACGTGATTATGGTATAATTTACGCAAACCCGGAAATCGTCAACGCACCAATGGTGTATCTGTTTTAACCTATAGCTCCGCCCAGAAACACTTACTCCTTCGATCTTCAAAACTGAAAATTATACCATAGTCTGGGTATGGTATAATTTACGGTTATTGGAAATTATACTTGGAAGAATTTTACATAAGAAGCGTTGAAGAGCTATAGGTTAAATGAAAAAAACTATTACTCGTTTTGCAGTATTCATCAATTTCTTCTGTCCTTCATGTTATGAAAGACACAGCTTACCCGTGATGCAAACCGTTCAGATGACACTGATATAATCTAATCTGGTTTGTATAGACGACTCTTGAAATCTTATCGACAAACTTATTTCTGGAGTTATAGCCCCGTTCAGTAGGAAGTTAGCAGTAGCAGTGAGCAGTAGCAGTAGCAAATTTATAAAACGTGAAGTTGGCAGTAGCAGTAGGACAGCAGTAGCAGTAGCAAAATTATAAAACGTGAAGTTGGCAGTAGCAGTAGCTCAGCAGTAGCAGTAGCAAAATTATAAAACGTGAAGTTGGCAGTAGCAGTAGCTCAGCAGTAGCAGTAGCAAAATTATAAAACGTGAAGTTGGCAGTAGCAGTAGCTCAGCAGTAGCAGTAGCAAAATTATAAAACGTGAAGTTGGCAGTAGCAGTAGCTCAGCAGTAGCAGTAGCAAATTTATAAAATGTGAAGTTTGGCAGTAGCAGTAGGACAGCAGTAGCAGTAGCAAAATTATAAAACGTGAAATTGGCAGTAGCAGTAGCTCAGCAGAAGCAGTAGCAAAATTATAAAACGTGAAGTTGGCAGTAGCAGTAGCTCAGCAGTAGCAGTAGCAAATTTATAAAACGTGAAGTTGGCAGTAGCAGTAGGACAGCAGTAGCAGTAGCAAATTTATAAAACGTGAGGTTGGCAGTAGCAGTAGCAAAATTATAAAACGTGAAATTGGCAGTAGCAGTAGGACAGCAGTAGCAGTAGCAAAATTATAAAACGTGAAGTTGGCAGTAGCAGTAGCTCAGCAGTAGCAGTAGCCAAAATTATAAAAAAACGTGAAGTGGCAGTAGCAGTAGCTCAGCAGTAGCAGTAGGACAGCAGTAGCTTATTATTTTATATTTTTTTGTTAAATGTTTTTATTTTATTACTAAATATGTATATATCGTATGTAAATAGAAGACGGAAGTTCTTTGGACACCGAAAATAATGGTTTTGATCGCTAATAAAGTCATTCATGTATATTTTAGCCAAAGTAAGTCAATATTACACCCCAAACAAAATAATAAAAAAAATAAAGATACATGTACTTTGAAGGATTAAAAATAATCAAAAAATGGCAATGATTGTTGCTTCCCTGGTCGGCGTTAAGTATGTAATTATTGCAACGTTTCCCTTCCTTTTCCTTATATCATAATCTATATTATATCTTATTGACATTAAAGTTTCATCACTTATTATCGGGGTATATTTTTGCTGCCTTAAACGATCAACTAACTTTCATTTTGTTTTATTATTATTTTTTTATATTTCAGACTTGTTATTCAAACCCGATTTCTTGGCAGTACTGGTAAACCTGTATATAAAAAGGCTGTATCCGCTGTCGTTGAGTTTTACAGAGACTTTTAAAAAGCTATAAAAATAGAAACATTTCACATTCTGACCCACAATGCTTTGGGTCATCGGCCCATAGCTATGTTTTAAATATCTATAAATAATAAAATATTACTATAGTCATTTTGAGACTTTTATTATAGAGGGTTAGGAAGCGCTAAAAAATAGATTTTTTTTTTCAAATCTAACACTGAATCCGTTGCGCGGAGATTCAAATTGGCCCATGGCGTTGTTAAATATCCGCCATCTTCTTTTAACATAACCTAATTTGTTTACATCTTTTTATCTATTAACAGAAAGTAATTTACATGTACATCTTTCTTGATATATATTATTCTTTTTTTTTTACTTCAATTTTTGCAATTTATTTGGTTTAAGCACAATGAATTATAGATAGCAGGTTTCTGCGTACATTTGATTATCATATACATGTAATCGGAAAAATTTCTTGTGTCAAACGTGGTCTCGGAAAATTCTTGCAAAAATGTGAACTTTGCGGTGATAATATCTTTGATAACAGATTTTAAAATTGTATGACGTTCATAGATTCCTTTCCATTTAAAAATAATTCTGTGACTTTTATTAATTACGGCT